GAATAAAGCTCTGAAACACACAAAGAAAATATAAGAATCTATAATTTTTCTGATTCTGTAAAACATACAGAGACAATAGAAAAATCATCCATTTTGCTGACTCTATATCCCCCCTCCCCACCACCCCAATCATACAAATCCACTCGCTTGGTGTTCTGTTGGGTTTTTGTTCTAGTCTCTTCTTCTGCATATGAAATTTGGCTTTAGAATGTAGGCAGATCTGGAAAATTTTCTCCCCTTTTGATATACTTTTAAAAAAACTTGTGAATTAGCTGTCATTCCTTTATACTTTTTTATACCATTTTTCTTCTAAATCCAATTAATGTTGAAAAATATCTCTTTTCAGTTGTCATTTGTATGTCTGTAGGTGCTATAGTGTCATATCAGCAAAAGACTTTTCCAAACAATGCTGTATGAAAAATTTCACAGTATACCATGGTGGTTGAAAAAGAAAAATCTTTTATAGTGTTATCATCTGCTGTTAACATTTAGGAAGTTAGAATTTATAAAACTGGAAAAATGTTAGTAGAACCAAGATGTCTGGGTTAACTGTGGCATGTAGGACTCTTCTTTTAAAATTTTGACAGAAATCATGTCCAAATTGGTAATATCTGGGTGTGTCTACAAAGACATCAGAGCTGCCAGACAGTGGTAAGATAATTATATTTCTATAGTTGTACTAATACATCCTTCTGCATCAACACTGTAAAGCAGGATAAAAGTGATTCTTTTCCCTGTCGTATCACTCAGGTGGTAAAATTTTGGTTCCCAAGCTGTTTCTTCACACAGAAGTGTACTGCAGTTTGGGCATAATTTTCTTTTATTTGTCCTGTGTAGACAAACCTTGTATGTCACTGAGATCTGAAGATTGCTCAGCAGTCTCCTCTTAACAAAGGAAGTCAGTGGTGTCAATCTAGTTTTCTGTGGTCACAGTGTCAACTAAATAAATAAGATAAATGACAGGCCAATATGCTGGAAGATAAGGATGATCAGGGTGTGGGGACAGGTCTTATAGCTCTTCTAATACTGGGTTCAGGCAAATTGCTGGCAGTTCTTACATTGATACTACTTGTGTTTATAGCCTAAGGGCGCGATAGAGGACTTTAGGGGAAGGGGATTAGTAAGTCAGTAATTTTCTGAAGGATCAAGTGAAATTAAACACTTTTATTCCATTTATAAAATACAACAGATTCACTATAGTGCAAACAAGCTCAAACATCACAACTTGCAGGAAAGAATTCCCTCAACTTCCTAGCTTCAGAAAGTTATATTTTGTTCATTGAATTCCAGTTCAGTTATGTTCTCAGCAAGAGCCAAGCACAAGATTAAAGTTCACTACTTTCCTGTTCATGACACACCCTGCTAAGGAGCTGCTGTGAGGTACTGTGTGAACGTCAGGCTGGTATGTTCTGTAGTAGCTGTAGCCAGAGAAATCCATTTTTAGGCTTTTAGATATCTGTGGGAATGTGGCTCAATTCATTGCATGCAGGGCTTCTCCCTTATTCTCAACAGATTTATCATGTATTTCTTCTACATTTTCTCACAGGCCAAGTTACCTTTACTTGAACCTCTGCAGAATGTTCAGAAAAACACCTTCTCATTTAGGACAAGAAGCTCAGCAGTCCCAATAGCCAAATTTGAACCTATGCACCATATTTATGCTTTAAAGATACTTAGGTATGAAAAGATGCAAACTAGCAGCTAGTCCAGTTATCAAGATCTTTATGGTGCCTTACTCATGAAATCATTGCATAGATACCTGGATATCTTTATAACTAACCTTGAGTGATATAGACATCTAAGTTTCTTAAGATCTTGGCATCTAAAGTTCCAGTACTTGGTAGTGAACTTACTTTCAATGCTTTTGTACTTAAAACTCATGACAGTCAATGAAATATCTATTCTTAGGATCTTTGGTCTTAATATACTTCCAGTTAAGCACCTAAGTATGCTTAAGAGCTGTTAGATGTCCCAGTAGGTGCCTTTCCACATCCTTGTATGTCTAAATAGCTTTGTAAATTTATCTTTCAATTATATTGTAATAGGAGAACTTGGTGCAAAAACTAACATGCCAGAAATTTTGATTTTGTTTCCAACTGCTTAAACACTGGCATTGCTCTGACAAGGGTTTAAAAAAAGCATTTTGAGCATTGGAATGCAAATTAATATACCAAGCAATTAAAGTCAATTAAAACAGGATGCAGTGTAATTAGAAACAGTTGTGTTCACATTTATATTCAGAGAGGTTTGATGTGTTGAAAGAAAAGAAAACAATTCAGGAAACTTTTAATGCCTACAGATGTGATGATGATACTAATAATGACATTTGATTTCCAAAAGGCCCCATCCTCCCTTGCTTCATGAGCTTTTGAGAAATGTGATAAAATGAGCAGCTGATGCACTGGATGCAACAGAATTAAGTGGTTCACCATACTGGGAGACTTGAACGCCCCCCTACAAGTGGTGGCCTTCTCTCCTCTCTCTGAACACAATACACATACCTGTTGCAGTACAAGAGAAGCTTGCAATCTTAGCAGCCTCATTAGCTGTATGAGCATTAACACCCATAAATTGTCAACAATGTCAATCAACTCAGGAAGGGTGTATCTTTCCCACACGTGCTTCCCTGGTATCACTTTCACTGTTGCTCTGGATATCTGCATTCATATTTATTGCCAGAAGTATTGAGCCAATTGTGCTCTATTTATATCCTCTTTCTGCATGGTAACCAGAAAAGAAGTAGAGTCCTCATTCCTCTCAAGCTGAGGCACAACTACCCTCATGACTAAAAAATATGCTAGAGGTTGTGGTTCTAGTACTCACAATAATGTAAATAGGTGTGGGTGGACTGTGGAAGGCATTCAGAAAATCAAACAGAAAACTGTGAAGTGTAACTACAAGCCTGGATGGCTGCTGAGGGATTACAGGCTGTACATGGGTACCTGTACCTGACCTCTCTTGGGCACAGGGATGAGATGTTTCAGCTCTTCCTTGGTGGAGCTGAGTGAGGAAATACACCCAGAGGAACCTGGAAAGAAACCTGCCTCTACAAAATTGCAATCTGTTTACTGACATAAAATGTTTGAAGGCAGTGGCAGAATGAGCAAGATAGCAGGCTGCAAACTAGTATAGTTAATGAAGCATGATGCAATGAAATGTTATTCTTTAATGTTATAACAGATACTCAGGTGCAATACCTTCCATGTCATCAAATGTATATGTCTGCTGACTATCCTCTATTAAAAGAAACTATTGATTTAAAAGATGTAGAGAAAAATAGCTGGCAAAGAATTAAATACAGAAACATGAAAATCATTTGCTGGCTACTCCATCCTTTCCACCCAATATAAGACTCAGAGCAGGACTATGTCCATTCAGTGTGTTTCTTCTCATTAACTGATGATCCATTTTTATTTGCAACCTAAGTGTGAAGAGCAGTGTTTTTGAGACAAGGTCTATTTGAACTCAGTCAATCATATCAGTTTGCATTTCCACTAATAGTCAATTATAATAAGTGCAAGCACTGGGATAAAGCTTTCTATTTTGCATTTATTGACCTATGAACTCATCAGTACAGGTTTCTGAAACCTATAGGAGTATAACGGTTGTCTCCATTTCCTGGTAAAATCATGGTTTGTATTTTCAACAGGGATAAGACAGCTGGAAGATATATAGATGCTAACCTCCTGTTAAGGCCAGTGAGAATGAAGTGTCTAAACATGTCTTGGGCAATTGGACATATTTGAAGATCTGCCATGTAATTTTAAGTTCCTCCATTTCTGAGTGTACCAGCTGAGGCACACATGAGATGATTTCATGTTTGAGGTTAAATACCTAGCATGGTCTCAAAATCAAATTTCAGTTTATTAGTCATGAAAATGTCTCTGAGAATACTTTCATGAGTGCATTCTCTGATGTAGCTCTTTAATTTATGAAGGCATGAGACAGATAATAAACTTTTGAATTTAAAATTAATAATTGAGGGCTATACAGGTTGTATTTTTAACCAAGTGATTTCCCCCATTCTTGTGGTTTGTTAGGTAATTTTGACTTGTGTAAGGCAGATGTGTAAGAGTATAATCTCATACTTGGATATTTTATGCCTACTCTACACAGGCAGAAATACCTATAGAGAATTATAGTTAAGTTTAAGGTATATTATTATTTAAGAGAAATATTTATAGTGACATGGAATTTGTCTTTTAATTCATCTCTAAGTTTTAATAGCTCTATACTGCTCTCAGGTTTGTGGTTGTAAAATGAGATCAAATCTGCTCAATTTTTGCTCTGGAAAACGTGACTTCTTGCAGGTTTCCATAAAAACTCAGTTGCTTCATGTGCACAGAGCAAACTGATTTCTGAAACAAAAATTTGGCCATATATGTGGAAACAGAAATTGCTGGGCTTGAGCACTTCAGAAATTTTGTTTGAAGGTGCTTTGCAATGTAAGGGTACTATAGCAAATCGCAAGGAGGTATGCATAACATTTAACATTTAGGCTTGATGAAATGTTTATTCCTTACACATAGACATGCAGGCAAAGCAGTCTGATGAAATGACAGTTTAGTAATTGCTAGGTGACTGAGAATTCATTGCATATGTTGTTATATAGTGCATATAATATAATGTAATTGATTTCTTGCTATTATGAGTCAGTTTCCCTGTATCTATGTTTGGAATAGTATATGGCATAGTGCACAGGTACACTATACTATAATGTCTGGTCACCTGTCACACAGAGTAATTAATATACTTAAAGAGAACTTCCTAATCTCTATAAAAAATGTTGACCTTTCCTACAAGACATAAATAGTTCAGAAGGGAATATGATTGGAAGACAAAATTCACATGAATAAAGGCATCAATAGCACTTTCTCTCCAGAAAATGATTTTTTTTTTCTTTTTTTTTTTTAATCTAATAACAAAATGGATGTGAAAATTAGGTGGGTTTTTTGTAGTTGGAAGAAAACATTTTTCTAATGTTTGCTTCTTTTCACTAGGTTGTATATGTAACAGCCACATTTCCCTATATCATGTTGATGATTCTTCTGATTCGTGGAGTAACGTTACCAGGTGCTTCTGAGGGGATAAAATTTTACTTGTACCCTGACCTTTCTCGACTGTCTGACCCACAGGTAGGATCATGGTCCATGTATTTATTTTCCTCTCTGACTGTAAAAAACTGCAAGAATGTCTTGATGTAAAAGTTTGCATACAGGTGATTGCTGGATAGTTGTTAATTGTTAGAGATTAAGCCTTTAAAGTAATCACTGCTTACATGTGTTGGAATATATTATCCCTTTAGTAGAAAATTACCTTGCTTGATAAAGCAGAATTTTCAGAAGTGTTCAGCTGCAGCTGCTGCTTCTGCCACTGAGGGGCAAGAGGATTTCCACTGGTTCAACAACAATAAACTTAATGGAGAATTATCCATTTTTTGGATCTCTGCTCATTCCAGATCTAAATCTCAGTCAAGATTGGTAGAGAAATTAATCATTCAGATGATTGCTGTCTTTGAAGGAGAAGTGTCTATATGAAGTCAAGGAGCAATGAAGTACTCAAACAAGGAACTCTGTCTTTTTTGTTTTTTCCAGAGTAGAGTTGAACATGGAAACACTGGATTAAGTTGATTTTTTTTTTTTTAGTGACAGATGAGTACAATAATACAGCTGTTATATATCATTTGTCTGATATTGAAGAGGGAAAATGACACAAGCTGAAAGGTTGCAGACAGCATTTTATTTATCTGGTTTGGTAATGTAAAAGGCATTATACAGTGCTACTCCTAAGGCTATTACAATATTAAATGGATCCTGAGATGGAGATAGAAAGGAAGTTTGGGTATAGTTGTCAAAACTATGTTTTTAAATCTGCTTATTGAAAATGTGTCAGCATAATTGTTTTTTAACCTCTGCTTACTGAAAGGGTGTATTTTGTTGCAGAATACAATAGAGAGAGGACCCTTCAAGTTATTTCCTTGAAGTGTCTGAAATGACTGACTCATGTAAAGTTCACTTCAAACAAATAATATTTCTATAGAAAAAAAAAAGATAAAAATATTGAAAATTTTAGATGAAAATTTAATTATGTTGCCACTTTTCAATTCAATAATGTTTCCATCGTTCTGTGTCAGCATAGATGTGAAGTGAAAGAAGAGTTGTGAAAGTGGTGTTAAAATGTCAGCGATGTGCTATGGACTTCCAAGGGCTAGCTTGCTTAGAGGTGGCCTCGGTTCACCTGGGAAATTAGCACAGTAACAGAGGAAAGCAACAGGATTCTCTGGCACACTCCCAGTTACCTGTTTGCAACACATAACAGACTCTCACTGTAGTAACTGTGGCAAGCCAGGCTAATTTCAGGTGCACCCCATGTGTCTTAACTCATTCTAGCAGAAACACATTTGGCTGTTGCACCTTTATCAGAGAACATGGATGGCATCTCTTTATTTTGTCCAGTCTTAGCCACTGTTTCAGCCCGCCCTGTGGTTCCGACAGCTAAAGTTACCCAATGCATTAACAAAAAGTGTTCAGTGCACTGTGAGGGTTCCTCCAGCGGCCAAGTCGTGGGCCCAGCGGGAACCGGGGGCAATTCTGCTGCTTTAGCGGGGACCCCGGCCCTGCCTGAGGCCTGCTAACAGGATTGTGCCCTGCCTGTGGATTTCCCACGTGCCACGGACACCCTTGCTTCTGTTTGTCATTGAGGGAGGGCACGCAAGCTTAAGCAATGTTCTTGTCAGGCTACAAGGGGGGTTTTTATGCCTATTTACTATCTTGTTTCCATTTGTAAAGAACTACATCGTTGCCATGACGATTTCAAAAGCACACAGTATTAGTCTAAGCAGTCTGTGAAGCACAAAGCACTTAAAAGACACGCGTGCATGTGTGTGCCTGTCCCACACGTACAGCTCAGCTGATGTAGAACGTCTCTGGGGAAGGCTCAAGGGAGAGCCAGCTTCCTGCTCCGGGTCAGCGAGGCTTTAACTGACACAGTGCCACACTCTGCCTCCGTACTGTATCTCTAGGAAAGAAGCTGAGGTAGAATGGACCATAATAGAGATTGTGAGCACTGCTACAGGCAATTTAATGGTAGTACGCGTGATGAAATGGTTTTAGAGAATTACTTTTGTGTTGAGAAAACGCTTTCAGTGAAATTGAAGTATTTTGCTGAGACCAATCGATTCAACTTTTGAAGAAAGATTTTGGAGTTATGGTTGGGATCTCTGGTCTATTTTTTAAGAAATAAAGGAAGTTTAGCTTCTTAATCTTAAAAATATAATTTGGTACAACTTGTTATTTTTCAAAAAAGAGAAAGGTAAAATGGACTCGGTTCAGCTTTCTTGCAATTTTTAATTGATATCAAGATAGGTATATTGGTCTTTTCCATTTTATGCAAATGTAGAACTTAATAATGTTCAAAACTGTAAATTTTTGCATCAAAAGAAGCTATTCCATAAACCTCTTCTCAATTTGTTCTAGAGACTTTTGCCAAAAAGCAGTATAGGACAACTGAAGTAACCTTGACATTTGTTCTTCCAGTTTTCATCTTTACTCTTGTTCATTTGTATTTACTCCACAATATCAAAGCATAATGCATGTGTACTAGCAGAAGTTGTTTTCCTCTGCAGTCGGAGGTCTGTTTAAATAATGTTCCAGGGAGACTACTGTGTCTGTATTAGGACAGCCATGTTAGAACCACAGTACCAACTATGTTTACTGTGGATTAAATAAATTAAGTTTCTCTTCAAGGCTCACTTTAGTTTGAAGTTCTTGAATCTTTTGTCTTTGTGTAATTTGCATTCCATGGTTCGTTATAGTTTTCTAAGCAGCTATTCATCTGTCTTTTCAGTTCCTCTTAGCTTTCAAGTGCTGTGTTCTCTATTTCATTTTTTATATTCTATCTTTTCAGCAGACTGAATCCTCTTGGTCTGAAAATGCCATCTTTTATCCTGTGTATCTGTAGAGCTCATACCAATCACTTTTTGTTATAATAGTGGAGTACTATATTCAAGCTTCAGAAATGCTTTGTTTCATCAACAGTAAGGTCTCTGTAGCCTTCATGCTCAAATTGGCTTGAAATATGTCCCTCTACCCCAGTCTGGATGATACAGGTGCTGTTTACAGCTTAGATGTGGGGTCTTTTCTGAGTTATAACTCACACACAAAAAAGTATTTTGCAAAGTTAATAGGATTGTTATGCTTCTTGTCTGCAAGTCTGACTCAGAATATAGTTCTGGTTGTCCCTCAACAGTTTTAAATCACTTAATATGTAATTGTGCATGTGTGTGGTACTCACTGCTCCTTTATGGGGAAAACATTTGGTTCTTCATAATGGGATTTTCCAAACATTTGTGCATGGAAGAGGTTAATTCAATTAGGGATCAGCAGACATACCAGTTTGATGGATCGAGGAGTAATATTATGGTCAGTGATCTGGAAAATACACTCATGCAAATTTAAACCCTGCTGTAGCAGTGGATTCTTAAAATGAGGATAAAATAAAAATAAATCTTTCTTTTTTATTGTGTGCTTTTATGCTAATAACTGGCTGAGTTACGTTTGTTTTTTTTTGTTTGTTTTTTTTAAATTATGTATTGTTTTAATGAATATATTAATTATAGCATCTGCAGGGGTGAACATGTCAACATAGTCAGAATTGAACTCTCTGAATAGTTGGTGCTTACCAAACACTTGAACAAATTTAATTATTCTGGGCTTTGAGACTGAATTGCACATGAAAATACATTTCTATGTGAAAAGAGTACAGCTTGCATATACTCACATGTGAATGTTAAGCATGATAAATGACTGACAGGGCAAATTACATATAAGGTACATGAAAATCTGAGCCATCACAGTTAGGATTGATTTTAAATTTCTCTGATCTTTTATTTGTTATGGGAAAGTGTTAAAATTGCAATAACATTTCTGATGGCAGAAATGTTTCTACAATTCACTTCTAGTAGCTCAGCTATGAGAGTATTAGGTAGCCCCAGGTGACTGCACAGAGCTTCCAGATGTTCCCTGTGGGTACTCCAGCAATGGGTACTCCACCCAATTTGAAAATGGCCTCCAGAAGAACTTTTCAAATAAATTCCCTTGGCACTGAAATTTGATTGGCTGACTTGTACCTCACTGGATCTTCCTTCTTGCCCTTCTTAAAAATAAGTACAAAGACTTGAATGCACAGCAATGAGCATCAATTTAACCTGAAAAAACCCTTATACTAGATAAGTCTTATAGTACAAATATTACTCTTTTCATTACATTGCCTTCTGTCTCAAAAATTCCTTTCATCCAGCATTTTTCTGTGTGGCATTTAGGCTAAGTTTTCATGGTCTGTGTGTTTATAGAGAAAAAGAACATTTTAATATATCTGTTTTAGGGAAAACACTTTCTTTGGTAGAAAATCACTTAGAATAAATGCACATGACTTTTTTTTTTTTCCCTGAAAATTATAATTTTCATTACATACTCCTTAATTTTCAGGTAGGTATGAGTTTATTTTGCTAGTTCTTCACTCTTTCCTTAACATCATCCTAGTATGTTTGAGTATATACATAAAACTATACTTTTAAAAAAGATGCTACTCACCAAACCTGTAAACAGTTGTTATCCAATTAGGATAATTATAATATGCATACATGTGAGACACATTTGGGAATACTGTATGGGTGTAGTGATAATAATTTCTTAAATCCTGTTCTCAAAATCCAAACTGGGAAAGTATCCGAGAATTTATCTTCCCTTATCTTTTTATTCCCAATGTTTAATAATGCAGAGCTGTTTCAGCTATGAGAGCTGCAGCAGTAATACCGCTCTGATTCTTTACCAAGAACTCTCTTTTTAGCAGTGGAAGTAGTAACTCAGATCGATTCCGTTTTAGTCCATGCAGCCTTGGAGGCAAGCAACTATCACAATTGTATCGCCACCTTGAGGCCGAATGAAACATGTGTTTTCAAAGGCAGGAGGAAATAAAAATTCTCTCCTAGCTTTGAAAGTGGAGGAACAATTGCATTTAAGCAGGAGTGTTAGGGCTCTGTTTTCTTTCGATAAAAAAATATTGTAGAAGAAACTGTAGTTTAATTTTTGAGTGGTTTCATGCTCAAAAAATCAAGGGAACTGTACAGATTCCTGAG